AATATGAATGATACAAATTATTTTTAAAACTTTAATGAAAAAAAAACCTGATTAATCACTATGATATCATGCCGAAATTGCAAACTTAATCGAATCAGCTGAAAAATCATTTAGCAAATTTTTATCAGGTGTTCCAGGAATTATAAAAATAGCTGTAATCACCAATTATTTATTAACCAGATATCTGGGTCAACCGAATATTTATTTATAATCGTTTATTAACCGGATACCCACTTATTATATTAAAAACCAGTTTGACAAAACTACGATCCAATTGGTAATTTTTCGGTTCAGGTAATAGGTTACATGGTTACCCAAGTGATGGGTTGGAACCCTAAGTATCAGTAGTATTAAAATATATATGAGTTTTAAGTGTAACAATATTGGCAGAAATTTTATATAGTTGTATAAATAAATTTTGTAAGAGATGTTAGAGGAATGATTTAAGGGTTTGTGGAAATGGAAGAGAAGAAAGATAATATTTTAAAGAAATTTGTTAAAACATGTTTTCTTAGAAGAATAGGATAAATTGGTATCTGAAGAGATAGAAGAATGATTTTTTGCAAAAATGCTTGCTATATGCCCAGTTCTCACAGCTATGCAAGAGGCCAAAGTTTGCTTTGTATATTGAGTCTGACCATTATTACTTGGCCCTTCTACATAAATAGGCTTTTTTGCCTACCTACTTATATTATTCTTCTCTAAGAATGGCTTACAAGAGGTGGAGGTCATCATAATCTTAGAGGTGGCAGCTGCTTTTATGTTTTTTTGCAGAAGACTCTAATGAAAAGATTGGTTGGATGAATGGGGTTGTTGGTGTTCTATAGTATTTAAGGATTGTAAGGGAAGTTGGGGCAGATGAGTTTGGATTGGAGATTTTTTTGTGTTAATTAAATCTTTAAGTTTTTGAGAGTTTAGTAGTAAAGAGGTAGAAAAAGTTGGTTTAACAATTTTGTAAAAATTAATAATAAGTTGTTGTTTATTGTATTGAGAACAGATATTGAAGAAAGTTTGTTTGAAGTTTTTAAGAATATCAAAGTTTAGACATAACTTTGCCAATAAAGGTAGAGTCAGTAGTTTGTTTAAGAAGTTTGTTGATAAATTCATCAAGAGATAGATTATAAATTTGATTATTTTTGGCTGCTATTTTGAGATATTTGTTAAATAAGTATTAAAGTAGAATGTATTATAACAGATATCAGAGACAGTATTGTTTTTTTCATTATAGAATGTTTTTGTCTCATTAGCTAATTTAGAGAAGGTTTGAGTTAGAAAAGATACTGAAAAGGTAGCTAGACAAAAACCATCTTTGTCAAAAATAGTAAAGTTAAAAGTAGGCTGGATTTTGGGTAATGATACTAATCCTTCACTTAGTACAGATTCAATTTTTCCTTTTTCTATAGTTCTTAATACTTTCAAATCTCTACTTCAATTTATCATAGTACTTTTTACTCATTATGATTATAAAAAAATTTTAATATCTCTAAACTCTATTTCTCCTTTTAATATCCAAAACAGAAAACAAGTTATAACCAATCTTGCATGAATCCACCTCTTTTTATAAAACAAGTATCAAACTATCTATACTCAAAAGTTTATTCAGAATCTTGACATTAAACCTTCTATTTTAGAATTCACCACTCTTTTAGTAAAGATACTCTTAATAAAGCTCTTTTTCAAATTGACAATAGATTTAATTTCAATATCAATCTTAATATGCTAAGAAAACAATTTACTCACTAAGGAGCTTGATACTTGGTTTATCTCCTTTATTTTACTATATCTTTGACAATTTTTTGACAAATCTCAAGAATTCTAAAACAAAATATACAATTACATCTGTTACAATATTGCTACAACTTTCGCTTCTTAATAAGTTTGTTCTTTAATTGGTTGTGAATGAGAAAAATTAAAAGATTTGCTTGTATTAATATTAGAGAAAGGTTTTGAAGGAAGAGCAGAGAATGAAGCAGTCATAATAAAGGAGTTATTAATAGAAGTAGAAGTATTATTGTAAAGATCTTGAAAAATAAGGGTTAAGTCTTTTTTAGATTGATCTAGAGAAGAGATTGTGACAGAAATTGTAGAGATAGTAGAGGTAGTCAATAAAGAAGATGTAGTAGAAGCACAAAAAATATAGTAGACTTTCTTGTTAACCAAAGTATACATATCATTAGGATGGTGTTTGTTGCTATAAAAATAACAAGTAATAGTTTTAAGGTATTTAAAACTCGTGTGTTGACATGATTGATATGTAGGAGAAGGTAAAATATTTTTAGAGATTTTTGAGATTTACTAAATAAAATTAACAGTTTTTTAGAAAGTTTTTTACTAGTATGTACTTGGGTAAATATAGAAGCAGATTAATAAGTAGAGTTGTTTTTAGTGATAAATTAAGTGTGATACTTGTTGCATAAACATTTAACAGTTAATATCGATTTTGGAGCTTGAAAGAAGTGAGTAGCTTTTGTAGAGCAAGTGATTTTAGTATGACAGACAGTGGGCTTTTGGTTTAGTAAAATTGGTTTAATATTATCAGTTGGTTTGTCTTTGAGAAAGCCAATACTGAAGCTTATAGAAATAATCAAGGTCAATAATATCTGGTTTTTGCTGGGTTGAAGTAGACATTTTAAAGAATCAAAAAAGGATAAAAATTAGAAGATTTAACTTAGAATTTGTGATAAAAATTAGTTTTTTGTAAGATTTTTCTAAGTTGAAAATAGTGTATAAAATTAGAATAGGAGTTATATTAAGATAGACTATTCAGAGATAAATAAAAATAGGGTTTTAAATTTAGGTTATACAAAGATCACACCTTTGGATTGGATTTTGAAGTTTTGTGATACACAAAAGTCATGTGATAATCATGTGTTACATGAAACCAAAAAGGGAATCTTTTTGTATAAATAGAAGTTACAAAAAAAAACAGATATTAAAATTGTGAATATTGGCTCAATTTTAGTGTAATTTAAAAAGCATCACTAGTTTTAAAGTATTGCTGAATGTGGATTGCATGGCTGGGATGGCCTTAGTTACACAGAAAATGTCTCTAATTGTTTGGAAAAAGGGAATTCTCAAGGTAAAAGAGAAAAAAAAAAGTAAACAGAGTTAAAAATTGTTTTACTTGTAACCTAGTTAATATTGGAGCTACAGAGATCTATTTTAGCTTGTTTTGAAGAGAAAAATATGTAGAATAACTTGAATTATATTTTGAAAAGAGGTTTAGAATCTAGATTTTGTGTAATAGCAAAAGAGACTTATATGATCTAAAAGGCTGTTATTTAAAAAGTTTTAAAGCTATCTCTTTAAAGTTTTAATATTATATGTATCTTTACATATAGAAAAAGGTTTTTTAGAACCAAATATTAGGTTGTCTTAATAAATTATTGCAAAAATATGATTTTGTTAGGTTAGGTTTTTGAAAAATTTTTGTACAAGTGATTGATAAAAAGAGTTTTTTTTTTATAAAAATAATAAAGAATATATTATATATTTTTTAGTTATACAAATTTTTTAGTTAAGAGTTAGATTTATAATATAGTAAATTCTTTTTTCATGAATCTCTCATAATCTTTAATTTTCTTAAAATACTCAAAAAAACTTTTTATTTTAAATATAAATTACTAGTATAATTAGTTTTACTATATAGGGTCTTTGCTTTGAAAATGATCTTATAATATTATATACTATAAAGTTATTTTCAAAGCAAAAACCCATATAATCCTGAAAGCTATTTTTTCAAAAAATATAATACTAACTAAATTAGCTAGCATTAAAACTGATACCAGCTATATTTGTTAGTATTAAGTTTTTTTGTAAATTTGCTATTTGAAATTTTGTAATAAATTTATATAACTATATAGTTTTTACAGTAAAGTAAATAGCTTGATATTTATATATTATAAGATATATCAAAAAGAAAATTTGTTAGATCATAAAGCAAAAAAAATCTTACTCTTTATTAGTAAGAAAGTTATTGATAAAACTCAATATTAATATTAGTATTAGCTAAATATTTTTCAAATAATATATATATTTATAATAATAAAATATGAATCTTTACAGAAAACAAAAGTATTATTAATAAAAATAACTATTTAATAAAGTTGTAATATTACATATTTAAAGATTTGTAATAGTTTCATAATTATTCAGTTTCTTTATCTTCATTAACTAGCTCTAAAAGCTTTTTAATAATATTATTATCTAATTTTAAATTTGCTTCTTCTTGTTTAGATTCTTCAGATTTTATATTAATTCCAGCCAATTTTAAAAGTTCGTTACTAATAACTGGCTTTTGATCTTCTGTTAAATCCTCATCATTATTAACTTCTATAATTTTTTTATGAACTTTATCTCTATATGCTGTATAACAGCTATAATAAAAAAAAATAAGTACTAATTAGATTTGTATACAACTATAATTAAAATTAACAAATTTAAATTAAAAATTTACACATATTCTGGAAACCAATGTTGCCACCTTCGTTGTTTTGGAAAAAGCCAAAATAATTCAATTACTGCTACTATCTATAACAAAAAATAAATTAATAAATTGATATAAAATAATTTTAAAAAAAAACTTAAGGTTACCTCAGCCTTTTGTATTAGATATTCAGCCCTATTATTATACTCTTCAATAGCATTGCTTAATAGTCCAATAAATAGATTTAACAAGTAGATAACAGTAAAAAAAGAAAATGTGACCATTAATAATACTAGTACACGATTTGTATGATAATCCCAAGTAGAAAGCGAACTATTATCACCTAGAAATAAATAATTAAGAATTAATGATTATATTTTTTTTAATTATTATTAATACAAATATATTTAAACTACCCACCAGTCATTAATAAAAAAACAGCCAAAAGTGAAGTATCAAAACTTGCATATAAATCAGTATTAACATCAGTTGAACTCATGTTTTTACTTTCTTCCTGAAGTAATATATAGAGAGCATGAGTAAATGCAAGTATAATCATTCCTAAAACTATCAAATATGAAAACACGGTTTGAGCAACGCCAACAATAATAGCAAAATAAACACCAAAATATTCAAAAGCTCTTAAATAGAATAAGAATTTTATATCAAGAAACAAGCATGCTAATGAGGGTGCCCATAGTGGTGGAGGGCCATTTAATAGCCAATAGATGGAAATAATGACAGGAAAAGTCAAGGAACCAAAATCTAATAAGTATCAATAACAGTATTAAAAATCAATTATCACAAAATTGAATAACTCAAATTTATTAGTCATACCAAAACAATTCCATAAATTAAAAATATATCGCTTCCAATTAAATATGAGCTGACGCAATTCAATATACATAAGTAAAAACAATCCAAGAATAATTGATGTCCACAAAAGAATTTCTTGAACACTTTCTGAGATATAACCATTTTCCGTAACAGCAAAAGAGAATGTCATAAGAAAAAGTGTAAAAATGGCCCAATCAAGATAATAATAATATTTTCCAAACGTATTCCATTTAAAATTAAGCAAAGCTTCGCCACTCCAACTAGAATATAATTCAGGAGTTTGTATTTCTACAAATCCATTTGATTTAGTTCTTCCAAATATTTCATTCCAAAATGAAAAATCTGTATCATATGATGAAAAGCCTGATAACGGTACAACAAAATGAATAGCGGGTACATCGAATTGTTTATCAACTAATTCTTTTTCTAACAATTTACTATAGAAATTTTTATAGAAAGATTTTAATCGTGAAATAAAGTTAGAAATTAATAAATAAATACGGGAAGGAGGACTAAGTTTAAACATATAAGGCTCTGCTGTATGTGGGTGAAGATGAGGATCAGATGTATAAACTATAGGCTCACGAAAAATATGATTAGGGCTTAATAATAAGGAAGTTTGTGATATAAATCTATTAAAATAGTCAGGATAAGTCTCATAAAGTTTAATTGAAAGGGATGAGATTATTTTGAGAACATTAATTTCAGCTGGATCATTTATGATTAATTTCATACATTTATCAAAAACTTGATTAACAAGATCAATTCTTCGCTCTGAAATTGCTGCTTCTAAAAGATTTTGAGCATATAATGCAAAAAATGAAGTATCATTGATATGATCTTCAATTAGTTTGCTCAATGTATTATCTTGATCGAAAAATCCAAACCCAAAATTTTTAAAAATAAATTTAAAATAATCTACAGAAAATAGTTTTTCAGATACTATTTTACACTTCAAGAGATCTTTATCCATCTCACTATCGCTATCCATCTTACACTTCTCCAAGAGATCTTTATACACCTTCAAGAGATCTTTATAAATCTTCAAGAGATCTTTATCCATCTCAATATCCATATTACGCTTCTCCAAAAGATCTTTATACACCTTCAAGAGTTTTTTCAAATAATTTGTATCAAAAAAATATTTTATCCGGATACTTTTATCATTATCCAAAGCCACAATAATTGTAAATTCTCTTATCGATAAATGGTACCACTTTGTTATTATCATTAATTCATCATTAGTCAATAATTTAAATGCAAGAATATTCAAAGAGTTAAGTGAATCTTTTTCAACGAATATATCCGTCACATTTAATTTAGCAAGATTTATATTGCCTTTCTTTGCCGATAATTCCATTTTTCCATCTGAATTTTCATCATATTCCCAATTAACTAGATTCATATGCTCACCCTTTATTTGACCTTTCAGTTCTGTATCAACTTTAAATGTATGACTAATATCACTTTCTGCCTCTTCTATTTTTTCTAATATTTCTTTCATAATGCTGAGGAAATGGATATTGCTCTTATCTTCAGTTTGTTCTCGCAGATAATTTTGAAAATGTCCCTGAAATAAATCATATATCAGAACTTTACGATTGGCAATTCCTATGATCTTGTTTTCAAATATCCCTTTGGGAACAAATCCAACAAATTTCGAATTAAGTTCATCATATAATTCCAATTCAATAGTTGTGTTCTCTTCCGAATTTTCCGAATTTTCCGAATATGGATCAGTTAGATAATTTTGCATTTTTGAATTCGTAAAGTGAGAGATTAATAAGCGTTCACTCAGATTTAAAAAATTAATTTGAAAATATTCATTATCTTGATTCTTATAATTCATTTTTATTTTACCTACAAATAATATGATGTATAGACATATATATAAACTCGAATTACAGTAGTTGAAAAAATCTTTTTAAGAAGTCTACTTACGTGACAAGATTTTAATACCAGTTTTTGCTGAGTAAATTTTCAGTGTTAAATCGCGATTGTGCCATACCGCTAGTAAATTTCCATATTTATTAAATATTAAATCAGTTGCATCGGGATATTGTATTTCGAATTTTTCAGAATTTATATCCCATTGAGATTTGAAAAATCCATTTCCAATCAGTAATTTCCCATCCCTAGATAAGGTACATTGATTAAGTTCGATATTGAACCCAAAAATATTTTTACATTGCAAACATGTTTTTGAATCCTTAGTTATAACAGAATATAAATATAATTTGGATTCAAAGATGAATGCAAAATAACCATTTTTAAAAAAAGAAACATATATTTCAGATGTTTGTAACACCTGTTCATTAAAATGTGGAATCTCAACATATTCCTCTCTATTGGTATCATACATGACTATATTATTATGAGCGAAAGAAAATAATTCAAATTAAAGTTTGTGTATTAGATTAATAAATAATAATAATAAATATTTTAACTTACTACAAGAAGTTTCACTTATTAAGACTATTAATGCATCATCAGACAACTCTTCCAATTTAAAAACACTTTCGCCATCTTCATTTGTATCAAGTTCTGAAATTTTGAAACTTTTATTTGCATCTAAATATTGTTTATTGTCTAAAACTGGCCATATAAGAATGCTTTCATCCTTTTCACTTAATGTTGCAATATATTTGAGATTAGGCGAACAAACTAACTTAATCTCATGTCCATGTGAAAAATTTTGCCTTTTATGTTCTTGATCTCCAAATTCTTCTACTTTGATTTCCACATGATCGTCCTGTTCTCTAGTTGACATTACTGTTATTCTTTAATGTTAAAATTACAAATCAAGAAGGGAAGAATCTCTAAATATATAAACTATCAGCAATAAATATTCCGTAATTGTTTATGAAGCAACAATTTGCGAGCACAGCCTTACAAATCAATAAATATTCTCATGAACTAAAAATTTTCTCAAGCCTCATTGAAAGTGTTATTATAGAAGATCGTACCCTTTGTTCCTATAGTTGTTAAGCAAATTTCACACTGACGAAACGTGCAACTTAATTTCATTTTTCTTTAATTGAGGCCTTAAATGATGAAATTGAAGAAGAAAAAAAGCAATTATAAATTAATGTGTCAATTAAATATTTGGGAGATTGAATTCAGTAAAGAAAATACAAATTTTAAAGAGCATACTGCAAAATTTTATTAACATAACTACTTTTATATCTTAAGTAAAAAAAGATCCAAACCTTATTCTAAATTTATTTATCTGTTATGTAAAAAATTTTGTTTAAAAAAATTGTTATTTTCGGTCTTTTTTTCAGAACACAGCCCATATACTTTGATCATTATACTTACCAACCAACCAAATAAACGTGAATAAAAAAGCAGTGTTTAAAATTCTCAGAGTACTCATAAAACACTATTATAAATTTGTGGGCAGTATAAATTTTAATTACTTTTTTAATATTAAACTGTAGTATGCATTTCGATATTTTAATATACTGTATATGTTTTTGTTTTTTGTTTTTTTTTTTGTGAACGTAAAATAGTACCTAAGCCCTATAAGAAAAATGGTTCGGATCGGTACAGGATGATTTCGGATAGGCACGGGCCTTTGTGGGGTCCGAGTTGGTACGGATTCGGTGGTCCGTGTGGGACCGTATGCCCGTGCCAATTGGACCCAAATGGTACGGGTTTTGCTGCAGTTTACTAGTCGTGCCACCGCAATAGCAAATAATAAACATGTTAAACCATAAAATTTATTTTAGTAATCAATATAATACGAACAAACTAACTGCATGTGAAGTAAAATTTTGTAAGGAATCTTTTTTTTTTTAAGATACTCAGAGCAGCTTTATCAGTGAAATTATGAGATATTGCACTTTTTTAAAAAAAATTATTTA